AATATTTCCTCACAGTCTTCCTCTACATCCATCTAAAAGCCTTAAACCATAACTCAACCTCAAGTAGATTCACAAACATCACCTGTAACTACTACCTACGACTTATTCCCCGGTAATTAAAACCAGAACACCTGCATTTACCTCCCTCACAAACTCCTCGTATAATACAACACCTACATCCTCATCAGTCTCACCAGGTGATTATAACTTACCTGCTGGTACACCCAAGCCCAACATAGGTTCAAGATATGGCAATAAGGGATTCTGTATATGACAATGGTAAGCCCCACAGCAGTCCAGGGTATAGCAAGGGGAAGCTCATATACTTCCCGGGAACGACAAGGGGGAGCTAACATTATTCTCTCACGCAGGACAACTAAAATCCGGTGTCTCTGAGTTGAGTTACTAAGAGAGATATATATGGTTGAGGAGAAGGGAGGAGACACTATGGTGAAGGGGGCGGAGAGAGATAAGAGACGGGAGAACACTATGGTGAGTGGCGTGTTAGAATATAATAACAATGGAAAATATATTAATAACACAAAAAATAACAATATGTCAGTATGGTACGTGTGAACTGTCATTACTAGCGCCTTTAAATAGTCTCCCGAGTTTTTCATACAAGACACAGACAAGCTTACTAAACTATTACTACATAGAAGACCAATGATAACAGCGGTAACAGAGAGAACCTGTGTAAGTTAAGGCGACTCAAGTGCTGAATAACAATGGATCTTACAGGAGGGTCATCGGTACATAAACCAGAGTTCCCCTTGTAATTACAGATTCATAACCGACATTAATTACTTAGGCAATGAAGGGGACGCAGTGTGGTGCAGGTACAGTACATTGAGGTGAGGTGAGGTTAGGTTGGAGAGATTTTTTTTTAATTTTGAAAGAGATGGCAAATGAAATGGAGTATTTAGGTTAGGTTAGTTTAGGTTAGGTTAGGTTAGGTTAGGTTAGTTTAGGTTAGGTTAGGTTAGATCAACATTTAACCTCAGAAGAAGGCGAATAACAGCGTCTGTATGAGTCATCTTCCTTGAGCCAGTTATATCACGGTCCAATCTCGGCGCTGTGAGGGGGAGTGTTTATATATGAAAGTCATGCATAATGAGTAGATCATCTGAGCATGTTGATCACCACGAGGAGACGTAGAACACACACACACACACACACACACACACACAGGGTCATTCCAAAGCCTGGCAAATCCGCCTTCGTGGACGAGGTAATAAAAGATGGTAGTTTACACGCTAGATTCACGTCAAGTATCGAGAGGAATTTTCTTTTTTTCTGTACATTTGTTGATTCCTTGATCTCTTACTCCGCCTGGTATTGACCTCTTCTTTTTATACTGAATTTTATATTGACTTTGTTTCTTGCCAAACATTTTCACTTTACAGTCCAATGTTCGCCCGAGTCGGGTACTGAGGAGTGTAAATAGTTGGTGTGTATATATATATATATATATATATATATATATATATATATATATATATATATATATATATATATATATATATATATATATATATATATATATATATATATATATATCGCTTCACTGTTTCCATGATATCTCTCTCGGGACAACTTTTCCTTTTGTTGTTAAGACGAGGAGTTGGGTGATGAGTGAGACAGAAGTTGGATGTTGGTTTGTCTGCGTCTCCCGGAAATGATATTATTCCTCTGGTTCTCACCAGCCACGCTCTGGGGCTCTCACCTGCTCTTAACAAACACAAAGAAAAGTCGTAAGTCAAAGAAAAATGCAGAAGAAAAACTTGCAGGGAAGGTTCGTCTGTTATGAATACCAAGAAATACGACAAATAACAGAGATGTTTTTAATGTTAAACTTAACGTAGTTCTGATTTGTTTTTAAACTGAAAACGAGAAGGTATGGCCGTGTGTGTGTGTGTGTGTGTGTGTGTAAAGTGCTTGACATCGATGTATACATTTACGTATGTGTGTGTGCAGGTGATTAGAATGTGTATAAGGTCTGATGGACATTTCTACACTAATATCTGGTATTATAGAGACCCCTCACCGTACACGAGCTGACCACTAATTAGTAGATGGACTAACACACGAAGAACTTATCAATGCTTCCTCCTTAAAGTATGACTCGTGTTGTGTGGATGACGCGAGTGGTGGAGTGAGTGGTGGAGTGCGACAGGTTGTTACACTCCCACACAATGTTACATGTCACTGCCCGACCAGCCCTGAGGACATCTACCACCATCATTCACACACCATTTTTTTTTGTCAGTTGGCTGGAGTCTGACGGTGAAATATCCGCAGCAATATTGGACTCTGACAAGACTGACATCTTCCACTGTTATGGTCGCCTTAACATAAGAACACAAGAACATAAGAATGGAGGAAACTGCAGCGGGCCTATTGGCCCATACTGGGCAGTCCCGTTTACACCCAACCCCTATTGCTCATATAAGCATCCAACCTATGTTTGAAGCTATTCAGCGTATTCGAGTTAATGATGATATTTGGTAACTTGTTCCTGTCGTCCACTACTCTGTTTCCAAACCAGTGTTTACCTATTTCACGCCTAAATCTAAATTTGTCTAATTTAAAATCATTGTTACGAGTTCGCTCCTGGTTGGATAGTTTGAGTACCTTTGTAATGTCCCCTTTGTTTAGCCCTGACTTCCACTTATACACCTCTATCAGGTCGCCCCTCGCTCTACGTCTCTCGAGGGAGTGCAAATTAAGGTGCTTTAACCTGTCTCTATACTCAAGGTTCCTAATGCCCGGGATTAGTCTTGTCATTCTCCTCTGAATTCTTTCCAATGATTCTATATCCATTCTGTAATACGGTGACCAGAACTGAACTGCGTAATCCAGGTGTGGTCTCACAAGAGCAAGATACAGTTTTAGGATGACCTCACTAGTCTTGTAACTAACACTCCTTTGTATGAACCCAAGTACTTTATTAGCCTTGTTACGAGCAAAAACACATTGTTTACTTGGCTTAAGGTTCCTACTTATCATTACTCCTAAATCTCTCTCGCAGTCGGATTTCTCTATGGCATCGTTGTTCATCTGGTATCTGGTTTCCCTGTTTACATCTCCTATACTGAGTACATGTTCTCCTCTCCGTCTCCTCACCTCTCCTCTCCTCTCTCCGTCTCCTCACCTCTCCTCTCCTCTCCTCTCTCCGTCTCCTCACCTCTCCTCTCTCCGTCTCCTCACCTTTCCTCTCTGTCTCCTCGCCTCTCCTCTCTCCGTCTCGTCACCTCTCTTCCCTCCGTCTCACCTCTCTTCCCTCCGTCTCCTCACCTCTCCTCTCTCCGTCTCCTCACCTCTCATCTCTCCGTCTCCTCACCTCTCCCCCCCATAGGTAGACAGAAGAGAAGGTACTGTCATCCTTTGGTCAGACGGTCGGTTCTGCTGTTGGAAATTGAAAGTAGACATTTGATACCACTTCTATCACGGCCTGTCCTGGGGATGGTGTGACGGTATACGAGATTTTTTTCTGTTTTTTTTCTTTCTGTTTTTCGGAGTTTTTTGTGTTTTCTTCCTCCGGTTGTGTTGAATGAGGGATGTGGTGGTGGTGGTGGTGATAATGAGTTAGGTGACCACACCCACACACACTCACACCCACACACACACACACAATAGACCGCTCATCATCCACGCCTGAAAACACATCCACTAAAGCCAAGGGCGGCATCTTAATACAAAAATACATACATGCACACATACATACATACATACATACACACATACATACATACATACATACATACACACATACATACATACATACACACATACATACTAGTAATACATGTTCACTACAACACCAGTACTACATGTTCACTACAACACCAGTACTACATGTTCACTACAACACTAGTACTACATGTTCACTACAACACTAGTACTACATGTTCACTACAACACTAGTACTACATGTTCACTACAACACTAGTACTACATGTTCACTACAACACCAGTACTACATGTTCACTACAACACTAGTACATGTTCACTACAACACTAATACTACATGTTCACTACAACACTAGTACTACATGTTCACTACACACACTACATGTTCACTACAACACTGTTCACTACAACACTAGTACTACATGTTCACTACAACACTAGTACTACATGTTCACTGTAACACTACAACACCAGTACTACATGTTCAGTACAACACCAGTACTACATGTTCACTACAACACCAGTACTACATGTTCACTACAACACTAGTACTACATGTTCACTACAACACTACATGTTCACTACACTAGTACTACATGTTCACTACAACACATGTTCACTACAACACATGTTCACTACAGCACATGTTCACTACAACACATGTTCACTACAACACTAGTACTACATGTTCACTACAACACTAGTACTATACATGTTCACTACAACACATGTTCACTACAACACATGTTCACTACAACACATGTTCACTACAACACTAGTACTATTCATGTTCACTACAACACATGTTCACTACAACACTAGTACTATACATGTTCACTACAACACATGTTCACTACAACACTAGTACTACATGTTCACTACAACACTAGTACTATACATGTTCACTACAACACATGTTCACTACAACACTAGTACTATACATGTTCACTACAACACATGTTCACTACAACACTAGTACTATACATGTTCACTACAACACATGTTCACTACAACACTAGTACTACATGTTCACTACAACACTAGTACTACATGTTCAGTACAACACCAGTACTACATGTTCACCACAACACTAGTACTACATGTTCACTATCAACACTAGTACTATACATGTTCACTACAACACATCTTCGCCACACACAAGTCCTACACTATAACACAAAAGTTTCTCTTTACTATTTGACACAAACACAAATTCCAACCTAACTAAACAGGTATTTTATTCGTTCAACCCCAAATTTTGACTTGAGGTCCCTGGGTCTTGGGAAGTGATCGGCCAAAATATTAACATGGAAGCTGTGCGCGATCTGTACTGGGACGAGGTGGAGAATCTGGTTCAAAACAACATTTGCGTTTTAGGGACAGGAACACATGGCACAGCCTACTTAGTTCGGTGGGGTGGGGAGACGGCAGTCCTGAAGGTTGCCCATAAGTCTCATGCGGTAAGAAGTTTTTGGCAAGAAACTGAAGCCTTGCTTCGTCTCGACGGGGCCGGTGGAGCACCAAGGGTCACCGGCTTCTGCAATGATCCACCAGCTATTCTGCAAGAGTTCAAGGGCCTCGTCACCTTGGAAGACATCTTAAATCAGCTACATGACGAGCGGGAGACTCGATACAACTTGATAGAGGTGGGTCTGCGGATCGGGGAGCAGCTCGAAGACTTTCACCGATCTGGTCTCATCCACAATGACCTAAAGAGAGACAACATCCTCGTCAACGGGTCACCATCCAACCCACAAGTCAGTATCATTGACGTGGGTCTGGCCTGTTACTCACACGAGAACATTAGGTGTAACAGTGATCCCAACAAATTCCCCTGGATGGCCCCCGAGGTGTGTCTGGGCCAAGAGAGCACCAGGGCCTCGGACACATACTCCTATGGGGTTTTATTGTCCAAGTTGGCCGTTAAGGCACCCGGCTACCACCCAGACGTGTTTGCCCTCGCCCTCCAAGCCACGGAGTACAACCCTTATCACCGCATATCTCTGCCGAACCTTCTTCATCGTCTCCGGGGACTCCTTCGCCACAACCAAGTAAACGTCACGCAACACCCCATCCAGGTGGTTATGCCTCAGCCCCGGTATATACTCCCACCTATGCCACGACCCACCCAGTACCTGGTCTCACTGTATCAGGTCAACTGAGTGGCGTCTCTCTTATGAAGTTCAAGCTCCTTATAAGTGCTGCGTTAAGTTTATTCTTCACCCAAACTGTAAAACCCAAATCCTAACACACACCATCTCTTAAAAAATCTCTTTTGTCTAGGTATTAATAAACAGTATCTTCTAATACCTTCTTTATATACCCTCTTTTATTGTACCGCCAAAACCGTTTATTATGTAGATAGATAAGAAATTACCATTGCAAAAAATATGTTTGCAAACTAGACATAATCCTGACAGCTCTGTCCTCTTGTTCCACCTTACCCATGTTATACTGCTTCCCTCCCTTTCCACATTTAGTTTTTTTTTTTTAAATTTCCTCTGTAAATTATGTATATACTTATAATATAAATGTAAAAAAATAAAAATAAAATAAATATCGAAGTGATAACAGTGGTAACATGTTATTAACACCATGCTCTATGTGAACTATTCCAGATGATATTAAATGTTACATAATACTTCCTTGAGATAAATGTACAGTATATATCAGGGGCAGGTCAGGCTCTTAACTGGCTCAGCCATGTTAATATTGTGATTTTTTTAATCGACTCTGTATCTGTGTTCTTCTGGCTAAATAAACTGTTTCAATATCAATATCTTACACACACACACACACATTATAAGGTACAGTCGCTAAAACAACAATCTGTGCAGGTGGGGGTCGATATGCTCCGAAATTTTACGTGTGACTAGTGACGGCCTTCATATACCAAAACTTATCGTCCATGGTCTCATAGTTTCCCACAAAGTATGCACAGATAGTTGTTTTAGCTACTGTATAATTGCATCTATCTATATAAAACAAAGAAGTATGTCTGTGTGTGTGTCCGCACGAGAATCTCGGAACTACTTTACCGATCTGTAGTGATGCTGGTTTACCAATTCCTACTTCCTTTTCCTTCTATTCCATATTCTTCCATCCTTTTTTCCTTATCTTCCCCATCCCCCCTTTCCCTCTCTTCCTCACCCCTATTTATTCTCCCCACCCCATCCCCTCCCCTCCCATCCTCTCCACTCCCTACCCTCGCCCAAATCAACCCTTTCCGTTTGCTCTCCTCCACTCTCGCCCTCCCTCCACCTCACCTCAGCTTACGAGACTACCGGAAGAACGTTGGTGTGTGTGAGGGAAGGAGAGTTGGCCCCAGGCAGGTGCAACGACGAGGGTGAGGTGAGAGTCCAGCTGTCTCTCTCCAGCTTGGGTCTTCTTCTTCTTCTTCTTCTGTGGTAGAAGGTGGTAAGTGACTCATTGGTGGGAGTACGAGAGACCTATATGCAGAGAATTGTTAAAAAATACTAACTCGACAGAATGTTGGGACTCAAATAAGACCTCATCTGGGGTACAGAAGGATCAGAGACGGCGGCGGGGATCTCTGAGATGTGTGACTCGGGAAGACAAGAGTGAGGTAGGTGGCTCCTGTGAGAACGCTAGAATTAACGGCAGCGGTGGGACGAAAACGGCAAAGGGGAAGAATCGGCTTACGTTCAGTTAATGAGCAAATATGAGCGAGGGTCGTTGACGAGAGGGAGTATAAGCCGCCCCAGAATTTTTCTTCTTTCCTTTCTCATTTTCTTTGTATCTTACGAAGACTTATTTAGGGTGAGGTTGCTGACTCATTCTCTAAATTGAATTCTTGTCTGTGAATATGTTTTTTTCATTTTTTTATTTATATTTTCTTAATCTTCCTTGGTATCTTAACTACACTAGGTCCACAGACACTAATCCCGTGCTCTGTCAACGAAATCTTTCAAAAGGTGATTTAAGCGACTCTCTTTCTCCTCTCATAGGGTCTCCACAACATCCACCATCCCTCAGCAATTTCATCCCGTGGTCTTATTCACACTAGATTTTAACTCACTTTTTTTCTCCCGACTTAAAAAAAATGCACAAAAAAAATCGTCTCGTGAACCTGTCCCTTTAAAAACGAATCCAGTATATCAACAATGAATATATTCCTCTGGCTGTAGAAAGACTCACTCCAGGTTATGATATTATGAGTTTGACAGCAGTTGAGAAGTTGCTTCATTTTCTCTCACTATCCTGGACAAGAGCTGACAGACTCGCCAAGCTCCCACACATGATCATATTGTTGCCTCTTGAAGGATAACAGATAGCAGGTGTGGGATTACACATATATGGTTTCACCCCAGCAAGTACCAGTACGTACTTCCAGAATACTGTAGAGCAGCCGAATAAGGTGGGGCGAATTTCAAGGACTCCTAGAATACTGAATGCAAGAAGGCAATGTGGCCGGCAGTGAGTTTGACCGCTTTTATTTTCCTAACTTTTAAATTCAGGTTCCCATTTCAAGCTGGTTGGACTAGAAGTGCCTCGGGATCGAACCAACGACCTTTACGATAGAAGGCGAGTGCAGTATCCATTCGACCACCGCACACTCAACATTTGACATAAAATGGCCGAGAATAGAATAAATGAATCGTGATCTAACTGGTATTGGAAACTCAAACGTTGGTGTGAAATAGCATGTGTCCGGTAAATCCCAGGTCTAAAGTTTCGCTCAAGCAGTTTGGAATTTCATGAGGTGATGCATACTAAGTTGGTGGGAGATTAATCCTGTGGCAGGAGGAACGAGGTGTGGGCGACCATTCACCTCCATGATAAACTGCCCTTGACACCGGGAGTCTGCAGCCCACCAGTGCAATATTTGTGGAAAAATTGTCTGGGCATTTCCCTGACGGTGTGGCGCTGAATATATTGTAATGGAGAAACGTCTCATGTGTTATACAGTATTTTATCTCATGAATATCGATGTGATGGTCAGTGTTGAGCGCCAAAAATAATATTGGTGGACATTTATAGTCATTACCACACACTACAAGCTGACCTACAACACAACCTCCGTTCCTCTCAAGTCTCTTCATAACATCTCTAAACACTATTTCTTCACATTCCATGTTTATATTGCTTGTTGATGTTTAGTAATTTCATCCCCGTTTTATTAATCAACAGCATTTGTCTCTATGTATTAAACTAATAACCGCAGTATCGTGTTTGTAGTCATTTAATCGTTTTTGTTATTTCTACACGTAAGACTACCGTTAGGGAACGACTGGTCCCGCCGATAACATTATCAGTTAGAGGAAGTTGGTACCAAGACAACAGTTACTCTGGTGACCACACACACACACACACACACACACACACATACACACACACACACACACACACACACACACACACACGCACACGGAAGTATTGGTCACAGCTTCACGTCTGAGCATATGAGAAACGCGACTGCCGTGTTAAAGTCAGAACAATTTGTCTTCTCTCGATCCTCACAAGACAGACAATGAATCTAAACTGCTGAGCCTCGTTGATAAGACGATTTACGAAACAAGATCCCAAGGGGGTGTATAAACGGCTTAAATAGAGAGACGAATACTTTGTAATAATAATCTCCCCTGGAACACTGGACGGGTTTTTAGGGGGGGTAGGTGAGGGGGCACTGGGGAGAAGGACTGGGGAGAAGGACTGGGGAGAGGGACTGGGGGGTTAAATGTTTGTGATGAGGGTTTAAAATGTTTGAGAGTTGTGTTGCTACCAAGGGTGTAGTATTATGCCTAACCTAGACATAACAAATATAGTAAAACCTGATTCTAAACTTGACATCTAATCCCACGACAAAAATCTAAATCTTCCATAGAATTAATTTAGTTTTCATATTACGTTCATGTGTTTACGTGTTTATTTACAATCCTTCACCCACAGTTTTTAATATCTAAACAATGAATGCCACTAGAACTCTATGGAGAGCCTTTGAATGTCCCCCTCCCGCTACCACACTCCTCAAATCACCCGGCGTTCATTAATGACTGTCAAGGTTTTCTCGTCAAAGTTAACACTGTAGTTCATGGTCTCACTTTAATTAAACACCAAGTTGTTCCAGAAGAAGAGAAGAAAAAGAGAAGACGGAGAGAGAGAGAGAGAGAGAGAGAGAGAGAGAGAGAGATTGGTATTTATTATAGTCATTTACGCCAGAGAATCTCAGTTTAATGCATCCAACCTCACCACATCTCACCAGGATGCTCACTGTTACCATACATACACTACCAAGCTTCACCAAAGCGACCAATATATTCTTTAAAACATAAATGCACCATCATCACTATACCAACACGTCACTAATGCTCTTGGTACACTATCATCACACTACAACACCTCCCTTAACCTAGAAGCACACAACGCTAACCAGGCTACTGTTTACCATAATACCTACAACACTACATTATATCATAACACTCCAGAAAGACACAGTAATCACATCTCTACACTACCGAGCTGTTATGGCCCCCACACAGTGTGCTAAACAGAGAAAACATAACATCATCTCACACAACAAAATCTCCCAAGTGTTGCATTGTGTGACTCACTGTAACTCCTTGCACATGAACACGATACACAGCTACGAGATACAACTACCAGATAGAGCTACGAGACAGAGCTATGAGGCATAGAGCTACAAGACACAGAACTACGAGATACAGATACCAGATAGAGCTACGAGACAGAGCTATGAGGCATAGTGCTACAAGACACAGAACTACGAGATACAGATACCAGATAGAGCTACGAGACAGACAGCTACAAGACACGGAACTAAGAGACACAGACACGAAACAGAGTGGCCACTAATACAAGAATAAAATACATCACTGTGTTTATGTGAGGTATATCCAGCTTGAGGCTTTAATACAATACAAAGGGCCACTCTGTTACATGCCAACTAAGCTTCATCCACAGATAATACGGATTTGTCAACATTTCAGAGTGTGGTGACATGCAAAGCCAACAACTGCAAAAGCAAATTTTTTTTTCCTCTCCCAACTGCAGTGATGATTAAAGACTAATATACATAACAATTAGGTGATAAAAAGGAAATTGTTCTGACACCACACACACACACACACACACACACACACACACACACACATGTGAATATATTATCCACGTCTGGTTGAACATCAATAGACGCCATGCAGACTTTCATACCGTAACCCTTACGTAAAATGACTCGCCATTACAATAAATCATCAAAATGTCAACACAAACTCTCCACGCTACGTATTTCAGAGCGCCATTCATAACTAACTTTCCGGCAGAAGCTGTGTGTGTCATTCTGGTGCTGCTGCAGGGATGGATTGTTGTTCTCATCTATTAAGTGCTACATGGTTCTAAGTTTTCATAACTCAACTGCATGAAGACTGTGTGTTCAAGTCGTCTGGTTCAGGAGATGCGGACGTTTACCGGTGCTAAGGTATACCGTTTCTAGTCCACACACTATTCTTAAACCCTAGAATCTTTAGAAATGCCTTAGTGTTCCCTCTTCAAAACCACTCGAACTTACCTAACCTGATCTGACCTGACCTAACCTAACCTGACCTGACCTGACCTGACCTGACCTGACCTGACCCGACCTGACCTGACCCATTCTATATCAAGCGGTATAAGTCTGGTTACGTAAAAAGAACAACAAACTTTAAGGCAACGAGAGTCAATTATATACATCGGTCATCAACGTTAGTGGTGTCGGTAGTGAAGATGTTACACAGGCACACCAGTACAGTAATATATGAACCTAATACTCTAATAATTATTCTGTCTCTTTCTTCTTTATACGCAACATATTTCTGTTTGTGTGTGCATGTTTGCGTAAGTGCATGTGCATTAAAAAAGAAAATAAAGTATATACGCTCAATATAGAATCATACAATTTACGGAAAGGATAAAATAAATAATAAAGTAAATACAACACGTATACACAAAATGCAACGGACCCCCCCCCCGCCCCCCTCAAAAAAAAAAATAAATAAAATAAATTATGGTGTAAATATCTGTATCCTTCATATTTACATTCCAAGATTGAAAGTTGACTCAAGATTGCCGTCTGCACCTGAAGTAAGGATATTCTCTCTCCTCTCACCGTTCCTTGCCTCTCTCTCTCTCTCTCTTTTACAGGTTGATGTTAGATGATCACGATACCGCTGGATGAATGTTTACAGGTATATATATAGTGTGTGTGTGTGTGTCATGTTTGTCAGTGTACTCGTATATATGTATGTCTGTAAGTGTGTCAGGGTGAACAAAACATCATGCCACAATATAAAGTCAACATGGTTCTTGCAGCACGTTACAACTGTTCCCATAACAACGCTAAAACAAATGTAATGGAAAAAAAATTTAAACTGTTGTCGGAATATTTTTTTTTTTTTGAGCTTCCACTACAGAATTTACCGACTTCATTTTTCTTCTCTTCTCACAACAGTATCCCTCCCCCTCCCCTCCCCTCCCCCCACCTGTTCATTATTGTATTTTGTTGACAGTCTCCTTTATCTAAATGTTGACTGTTTGTTCACATTCTTCTGTTACTTGTTTTTGTTTTATTATTCTCATTGTGGGCGAAGTAAGGAGAAGACTTTGCCTTGTAACTTAGGAGATCAATAAGGAGGAGCTATCAGAACATCAGAACTGTAGTTTATGTAGTGAAAAATATAAATCCTTTTAGTTTTTTATAGTCAGCATAAATTCCTCTTTGTATATGTTGTCCCAATCAAAGCCTCGATTTTGTTCGTATTTAGTAAGTGTCAGCACCCCGGCCATGGTAAAATTGAATATGTCACAATATAGGGAATCAAAATAACGAGCATAAAAATGGATTCGTGTAATGTGACGGTATTGACTTGAAAAGATATTAACAAACTCGTATTAAATCCTTCGGTAACCAACAATTGTAACATTACCTGTGACATAATACCTGGGGATTTAGTAACTTCAATTCCTTTCTAAATATTCATCAATAATTAATCTCTCGGGTGGAAAGAGTAAGGTTGTGATGTATAACACACCTGTTGCCGTTCAGGTGTATAATATGTTACGTTATGGAGAAATCAACTCAACAGCCTCTTGACTACACAGCATCAACGTTACAGGTCTAATTAAAAACACGTTCTGGCGATTCATTTTGACGTTGGCATTCTGTTTACATAATGACGTATGAACAACTCACCATTAAATGTCGCCTAAAATATTTTGTTACAGAACCATGAGATGAAATATCATTTACACTCCATGATAATATTTTCTACTGTTAACTTGCTCCTTCCTATTTTGCTGGTACATAGAAATAAATCACACAGTTTTCTTTCAGATAAAATTTGAAATGGAATATCTATTAATACTGCATTTACTATATTCTGAATCTAAGCAAAAAGTGATGAAAAAAATGGAGGATAATTCATACATCAAAGTAATTATGTGAGGTGTGGTTGTGGAGGTGTTGGGAGGGCGAGGTGCCTGGGTACACGCTCTGGCAACACCTGTATCCCCTCACAATACACTAAGTACAGCACCTTAATGATCCAGGTGTAGACGGCCATAAAAGCAAGACAGATACAGCAAAAAGATATATCATTACCCCATATAAAACTCTCAGGAAATACCTACTTAACATAATGGTCTTTCACCACTTAAACATCTCAGGGATATTGCAGAAATAATATGCAAAATCTGATTATTTCTCCTGAAGTTATGAAATGTCTCACTAGAATGATTCCCTGCTATTTATGATCCAGTTAACAGAAGAACTTTAATTGTGTTTAGTCAACCCAACGCCTGTCTTTCATGACCTGACTGATAGATGTTTTCCACAGTTGAGGGAAGTATTTTTCAAGTATGGTATAATACTACTATTAATTACTGCTGTATTTTTTCACACTCTACCATCACATGAAAGATATATCGAAGGAGAAGTATATATCAGTTGTGTAATGTGAAACAATAACATCTTATGAACGCCTTTGACGGTTCAGTTCGCCACAAAGGTTGTTCGACGGCTCCTGACTATGAGGTACAGTGATAATCATCTAACTCACTTTAACGAGGATTTAAACTTTCCTCAAATGCCGTTGTGATTCTCATTGTTTGGGGAAGAGAGAGAGAGAGAGAGAGAGAGAGAGAGAGAGAGAGAGAGAGAGAGAGAGAGAATCTGTACATGGGTCATAAACTCTGATCAGCTGATGTAGATGACCCCTGAGAGACTGTTACGTCACAGTAAGGCGGGTTTCATCGCTACTATATCTTTTATCGGTGAACTTTGACATTGTCCTCTGGTAAAGTAATGACCCTCACGATGTCTTTCTCGTTCCTATTACCTCCAGTGTTTATCTTGTCCTTTGTTCTCTCCTCCCACTAAACCCTTATCATATCACTTGTATTTATCGGTAGTTTACGTTTAGTTTCCCTACTGTATATAGATTTAATTGTTTTCCCTGTATGGTGAAGGAGGAAGGAATGGTTATAGTGATCACAATATTCTCAGCAGGCGACTCACAGATGTATGTTATCGAAGGAGTCTGTCTACACTGTCTTGGGGGAATTTGTCAACACCATACTAAATTAAAAGTCGTTATCCTGTTACCATAAAATGATTTTCTAAAGTAAAATGATTAATTGATTATTAACTTTATTATTATTTACACTCAGTCATCAACACTAAAAAAATGAAGTGAGTTTATAGTAATAGTTTAGTATAAATATAATACATATACATACATATAGAATATACATATAATGAAGATACTGTATAGAAGTTATTAATCATGTATAGACCAACAACCTTAAGAATACCCCGAGTCCCTGTAAGATTTTTCCGACCGATTTTTTTTCTTTTCGTGTAGATATTTAGTCAACCAGAGCCCAGAAAATCCTCCCCCAAAACACAATATTTCTTTATATTTACCGAGAGATTTTAATGCAGATGATGGAGAGGGGGAGGGAGGGGGGGGGCGGCAACATGGTCGGGTTGAGGATATGGTATACAGGGGGACTGAGACCTTGTTGGGCTAGGGATGGGTTAAAGGATCTCATCTGATGTGGAAGGAGGGGGAGGAAGGATACTTTATCAGGATCATAGCAGGGGAGACGGATCATAAGCTGGTAAGGGTGAGACGATCGACCCTTTGTTTTTCAAGTTGTTGCAAAGAAGAAAAACACGAACTAAGATTTTTTATGATTTGTTTTTACTCATTAAACTAAGCTTAAATTATTTTTTTTATTTAACTTCATTAGTGAAAACTCTCTCTCTTTTTTTTCACTCTCGGCCCCTGGTGTTGTCTTACCCCCCCACCACACACACACAGAGGCCGGGCACACGGGGCATCATAGACGTGTTTGTCCATCACTTCAGGCATGAGCCAATCACTCAGTCCCCCACCAGGCCTCATACAAACTCTTCCCTCTTCATAGAATTCCTTTACTGAAGAGTTTTCCCCTCAGTTCAGTATAACCCGCCTTGTTTACTCTCTCATACGACTCTCTGGTCAACAAAGACTGTGTGTGTGTGGGGAGGGTGGGGGTAGGAGGCTTATCTACACCAGTACTGTTTGTCAAAAGTTTTAAATCAAGAAATATATCAAGAAATAAATGTTCCATAGTCAATATACTGTAGTTTCCTCATAATGGGTGGATATCTTACTCCTGGTGGACAGCTGACGAGGAACAATCCACAGTGGCTGGGTGACAGAGAACATAAATTTACCCTGGGTCTAAGTATCAAATATAAGGATTTGGACTACAGGCCTGGAGGTTTAAAGACACAAAGGGAATAAAATACAGACAATAGGATTTTATCATAGAGG